ATGTAAGAAGGTTTATTACATTAAACCTACTAAAGTGATCTTCTAATCAACTTAGGATTACAAAGACTTATTGTTTATTAGGAACTCAAAACCTATCTCGATTAGGCAAGCCTCAAACAGTGTTCAATAAGGATAATGAAGGCTTAAGGGTTCCTAGTTCTACAAGGATTGGAATGGATTAATCCTATAGCATGAAGGATATCTCTAAGTGTTTCTTGATGGGCAAGACACTTAGAGAGATGCATATAAATAGAAGGCTCCCTCCTAGATCCGAATAACACAACACAGCTAAACAGAAATTCACCCATCAGAGTTATAGCTATAAGGATCGGATTCTCAGGAGAAGAACTTCTATACCTTGCGCTGCCAATCTGTTCCAGCATCATCCAGTTCTTGCGCCAGCACCATGTCAGACTCAGGTTAGTGTTAAACATGTTATGGCTTTAAAGGAATTAACACTGCATTGTATCCCGCCATGGACAGATTGGATAAACTGGAAAAATAAGTTCATTTCCTTCATTAGTCTAAGTGTTCTCCTCAGCCCTAGAAAAACAACAATCCATCAACTCAATAAACCTTAAAAAAAAATTAAAAAAAAAAAACCAATCTAAAAATTAGTCATAAAAAGAAACATGAATTGGTAACTGTTAATTAAAAAGTTCCTCTTAACCTTTGGTCTTCACTCAATTTGCAAATAACACAATAATCCCTGCCTTTCAAACCCACAAGAGGCCTAAGCCTCTCAGTCAGATTTTGCATAATGACGGCATATCTATTAAAGAATAATCTATCGAATCTCATAATATGGAGAGATAATTATTTTTCAAAAGCCACAAGAGACCTCAATTTCTAAAAAATTTGTTACAGTAATTCCTCAAAAGCTCCTTCACCCAGCCAATCATGGCCAAAAGCTCCTCAATAGCCAGTCATCGCCAAAACCAAAAGTTCCAGCCATCTGTATAAACAGAAACCAAAGGGCATAAAAGTAAGACAATTTGTAACATATATAAGCGAAAACAATAACCTATTACAGCTAGCCAACATGCTAATCTAATGCACAACAAGAAGAAAGACAGATTTGGATCAAACACTTTCGTCAAATCACACTATTCAGTTTAGATATATGCTTTTTTCTATAGTTTGTAGTAGGAAGATAGTTTAAATAAAAAAAACTCTTTTATTTTATTTTTTTCTAACTTGGGTTGTATTTAAGGGTAGTTCGGGAAGATAGTGGGGTTTTCTTAGAAATTGTGAAAATTTAAATTAAAAGTTGGGGTGAACTTAGAATATGAGGTGAACAAAGAGAAGTGTGGTTTAAATAGAAAATCTCAAAACAAATTTATCCCTTTCTAAAATGACTTTTAAGGACTTAAAAAAAACATTAAAACCCATTAAAAAAATAAAAGAAAGAGAGGAGCTGGATGAGGAGGACGATGAGAGAGGCTCTGGATTCTTCAACGAGAAGAGAAGTTTCTTTTATGAAGTTGAAAGCATTGCTTAATATGTAATTGAGAGCTTGTATAGGATGTTGAGGGATTAAGTGGGTAATTGGTATATTTCGGGCTCTGGGCAGCTATTGCTGAGCTCCATGGATATGTTGGTGTACTGCTTTTGGATTTTTTAGGACCATAGAGAGAACAATTTCCAACAATTTATGGGTTTGTTGTGTTGTAGCTATTAAGTAATTCATTTGTTTGGTAAAATATATAGTTTCATCTCTCAGTTCTTTTGATTCCTATTTAATTGGGTATATTTGTATCCGGTGGAATTTGGCAGAAAAAAAAAAAAAAAATTGGGTCGGAATCAAGTTTCATTAATAGAAGGGTAATACCATTTACATGATGGTGGAAGTCATAAAAATGAGTCGAACCAAATGCAATAGTAAAAGCCCACTAGAAATAAAACTTAAACATACATAAGGTTTACAATTGGAATGAAGCTAGAACCCAAAACTGACATAAAGTCTGAGTCCAAAACTAGCATAAAGCCAGAGCCAACCAAAAGCAAAAACACCCCAAAAGCCCTAGTATCGTTGCCGCTGCCTCCATAAAGACCGAAACTTCGCCACCATAACTAATGATGAGTGAAAGAACTACAAACACACTAAAACAAATACAAAAATTACAAATCTGAAAATCCTCACAATACATAAACCGACCATCAAAGACTCAATTACTCCTTCAAAAACGAAGAACAAACCTAGGAAAACACTTCTCAAAGCCAAAGGAACTAGGCATCGTAATATTTTTGGGTTTTTGATATCTTGATTTACGGAGGCCAAATATGGACGCAAGACTCATAATTATTACGGGCTGTTTTTGTACCAAATTATGCCATGTTATCATTTAGTACCAAATCATAATTAACGGATATTTTAGGAATAAATGTGAGTGAAAAGATAGAATTGTATTTTTTTCAAATTTACATGGTGAGTTGGAAAATAAGGTGAGTAAAAAAATAGAACAAAGAATAAAAATAACAGCACTATTATTTATATATTTTTCGAAAAACCACCGAGTTGTCTTATTGCGAATGATAATTGGAAAGAGAGCACTTCCATTGGTCATGCTTAGAGCTCCCACCCCCATGAAATCTTATTGTTGTTCAAACTTTCTCTTTTCCATGAATTTTGTAACTTGATAACTGGTTCAGGTTGTGGCATTCGAGGATATTGATCTTATAATATTTAAGAGTAGGCAAGTGGATTCCAATCCCAGCAACTTGGGATATCTCCATATCTCCACCATTCTTAGCCACGTGTATTTGTGGCTTGCACTATAATCTTAATTTGTGTTTGTCGCTATTCTAACAACATGTTAATATCTGGAATATTTTATTAGGAAATATCTTTGTAAATATTGTAATATCTTTACTTGCCCAAATTAGTGTAGGTCAAATCCCACTAATATTGGATCACGTCTTCACAGCCTTAACAGCAGGGTTGATAGAAGGCTATTGTTGTATATATGTATTGTACTATTTGACGTTGAGAATACAACACAATATTCAACCATTCACTTTCTTAAGATGGTATCAGAGCTTCATCCTGGTACTTGACCCTTTCTACTTCCTAGCCACCTTCAAACACCATGTCAGATCAAACACCACCAGAAACCAGAAACAATAATTCCAAAAATTCAAGCACCAACACCAAAAATCCTGGTATGGATTCATCACATCCATATTTTGTTCATCAATCAGATCACCCCGGTCTCATGCTCGTTCCCATAAAGTTGAACGGCACCAATTACCCATCTTGGAGTAAATCCATGCTCCATGCTCTTACGGCCAAGAACAAAGTTGGCTTTGTCAACGGATCCGTTCAACCTCCTTCAGAAACTGAACAACCAGCTGAATATGCTCTCTGGAATCAATGCAATAGTATGATTTTATCATGGCTTGCTCACTCGATGGAACCCGATCTGGCCAAAGCAGTTGTTCATGCCAAGACTGTCTATCAAGTGTGGCAAGATTTCAAAGATCAATTCTCACAAAAGAATGCACCAACCATATATCAGATACAGAAATCCATCGCCTCTCTCTCACAAGGCACCATGACGGTTTCAGACTATTACAAGAAACTCAAGGATCTCTGGGACGAATTAGAAACATATCAAACACCTCTCACATGTAACGAGATGAAAGCACACAATACACAAAAGGAAGCAGATCGGATGATGCAATTCCTTATGGGCCTCAACGACACCTACAACGGTGTTCGCGGCAATATCCTCATGATGTCGCCATTAACTAATGTCCGCCAAGCCTATTCACTCGTCGTTCAAGACGAAACACAGCGACAAATAACATCAGGACCAACAGAGAATTTTTCCATTGCTGCTGCGATTCACAGCCGATCAAACAATATGTCGAATAATTCGATGAACAAACACTGTGAGCACTGTGATAGAAACGGTCATACAATTGAAGAATGTCGGACCCTCAAATTCCATTGCAAGTATTGTGATAGGAGAGGCCACACTGAGGATAGATGTAAATTTAAAAATGGGACATGGGTTCCCAATGACACAGGAATTCAAGGCAGTAAGCACAATCAATCTAAGCAACAACGTCAAGGGTCTAAAGGGCACAATTCGCGTGGGTCTTTTTCTACTGCCCACGCAGCAGACACAGCTCCAGCGCATGAGGCCCAGTCATATGGTTTCAATGCAACAACCCAGCCAGCCTCTCAATCCAACCCTTTACATGGGTTTTCTGCAGAGCAACTCCAACAACTAGCACATGCCGTTTCTATGATGAGTTCAACTCATTCCTCTGGTAATAGCAATGCTTATGCAAATGCTGCAGGTCTGGCTCCTTTTTCCATTCCCTCCATAAATTCTGTGTTCACTAAACCTTGGATTTTAGATAGCGGAGCTACTGATCACATCACTCATGACCCCACACTTTTCACCAAAACTGAATCATCACAAATGCCCATTGTTAATTTACCTACTGGTTCTCATGCCCCAATCACTTCCACTGGCACTATACCATTCAATTCAAATATCACATTAGACAAAGTTTTGTGTGTTCCATCTTTTCGCTTAAATCTTATGTCTGCCAGCAAACTCACTACTTCTCTAAACTGTTGTGCCATTTTGTTTCCTACCTTCTGTGTCTTGCAGGATTTGGCTACGGGGAAGATGATTGGCTCGGGTAAACAGCGTGGTGGTCTCTATTACATGTCTCCGTTGCAAAAGACACCTGTCTCATATCAAGTTTCACTCTCATCTGATTTATGGCACATGCGACTTGGACACCCGTCCCCTGCTCGTCTTCGATTAGCTTCTTCATTATTGCCTTCCAATACCATTTCTTTTGATAATAATTGTAGTGTTTGTCCCATGGCCAAACAAACAAGACTTCCATTTCCTCTAAGTTCAATATCAACTAAAGCTCCTTTTGATTTGTTACATTGTGATATTTGGGGTCCGCACAAAGTTACCACACATTCAGGTGCACGTTTTTTCCTTACCATTGTGGATGACTTTACTAGGTGCACATGGATATTTTTGATGCATCATAAATCTGAAACCCAAAACCTTCTCAAATCTTTTGTTGCTTTTGCCCACTCTCAATTCCATGCCAACATTAAAACCATTCGGGTAGACAACGGGTCTGAATTTTTCTCCATGAGGGATTTTTTTCAAAATAATGGCATTGAATATCAGCGCACTTGTGTTTACACTCCACAACAAAATGGAGTCGTCGAACGCAAGCATCGCCACATTCTCACTGTCGCACGTGCATTACTTTTTCAGTCTCACTTACCCATTATTTTCTGGGGTGAATGTGTCTTGACCGCTGTCTATCTTATTAACCGATTACCTTCACCATTACTTTCCAATAAATCACCTTTTGAATTGTTATACAACCGTCCCCCATCACTCAACCACTTGAAAGTCTTTGGTTGTCTCTGTTATGCAACTGTTGTCCATCTTATTCATAAATTTGATCCCCGTGCCATACGTTGTGTTTTTGTTGGATATCCTACTGGCCAAAAAGGTTACAAACTCTACAATTTGGAGACAAACAAATTCTTTGTAAGCCGTGATGTCCGATTCTGTGAAAATACCTTCCCTTTCTCTCAATTTTCGGCCTCACTTTCCCCATATACTCCCCAGCCCTACCTTTCCTCTGATTTTCTTAACAGCTGGACCCCACCCATCGATCCGCCCAACCCACCAGCCCATCCGCCCAACCCCCCAACCAACCAACCACCAGC